GGGTGGTTAAGGGTCACTTGATCAAGACCTAATTATAAAGCTTTATCAAAAAGGAAAGTTTTAACTCCAACCTTAAAAATAGAGAGCGTGTCCATCTCCCGAATCCAAACTGGGAGCTGGATCCATAGGAGAAGGGCCAGATAGCTGAAAGCTCTGCCTCCCATTCTACTTTTAGAAAAGTAAGTCTGCAGTCTCAAAGCAAAGTGCTCTGTTGGGGTAACATGATACTATGAGGTCTTTAAGATATGACACGGCCTGATTATTCAAGACCTAAGGAGAAGGATTTCAAATTCAATTCTTGATTTAACAAGGAGCCAATTAAGGGAAGCCAATATGGGAGAAATCTGTAATAAATGCATGAACAAGGGCAGGTATAGCTTAAATCAAATTGTCCATGGCGCTCCTTATATCTACATTGCCCCTCAAACATTGAGTCACTGAGTTGGAAGGCTCCAAGTGTTTACAAGCTGAGGTCATATACCGGATACATCTATCATTTATATTAGCATTTTAAAAACACAGTGCATTTACAGAGATGATACATCAGGTAGCCAGAGTAGTAGCTTTGCTGCTTACCTTGACAGCCATGATAACACCACTGGGCACATGTTTCATCTTGTCCACCACACCATATGCTCCCCTCCCCAGCTCTTCAATCTGCTCCAAGTCATCTGCCTTCACGACAAAGTTCTAGACCAAGAAGTGAAAAGTTGTGATATTGCATGTATTTAGCTCAGGAAAAATCAATAGAATTGCATGTTTCTGAGGAACACAGAGCCAGCTTTACCTGATCTCCAATTGTGACAGAAGTTATGGAGCCAAGATCTCGAGGGGGCCTGCAGGAAAACAACAAATAAATAAGCAACAGCAATTCTATGCTTAGTTGTAATGTAACTGAGATTTATCAATCTATTTGAGCCAACTTTGAGAAGCATGGCTCACTATCTCAATATTTAAAAATAGCCTTACGCTGTTACTTCTGGTGGTGGCGTTGCAAAAACTTCTTTGGCCAGCTTCAGCCCAGGGCTTTTCTTCTTCCCTTAAAACAAATGAATAAAACATTGCCATCTCAGTACGTGGTGATCAATAAAGCTGTATGCAGTAGAAACCACAGGTTGTATAATTAGCAGTCCTTCCAGTGGAGCAATTATTCATCTCTTCTTGCAAAACTTAAAAGGCTATTTGGCACTGAGTGTAAAGCTGCCATCCTCTGCACAACAAAAGATGAAAATTGAGGTTCAGAATACTTAGTTTCAACTACTGCCTTTTTATTAATAATCCACATTTGCTTATTGATATGTTTTTTGTTTTTTTTTTTATTCCTTTTCTGTTCTCATAGTAAAGAGCACTTTAAAAGTCAATCACTTTGCTGTAGCCTTCCGCTTACGCAAACTATAGCAAATGACCTGTTATCTAATTGGAGATTAGGTGTGCCCAAAGCTAAGGCCCTTCCATAGAGAGAAGGTGGACTGAATGACTAATCAGCACTGGTATGATGACTCAAATGAAGTGGGGGTGTGAGGGGGTACAGTGGAATCAAGCCTTCCTTCCTGGCATGTTTTGCGTGTTTAACCAGTACAATCCTTCCTTTTTTTCTTTACAAAAACAAATTTGAGTTCTTTGTACATTTTTTTGTTGTGTGGAGAGCAAACTATGGTCCAAACTCTGCAGCTGTGGGAGGTTCCTCTGCTAATTTCCTGACAGCCACCCATTCATAAACACAGTTTACCAGCAGCCTCTGAGACTTCCCACAAGAGGCTGCGAGTCTCTGCCAGAATGACACAGCTACCGAGCTTACGAGGAACAACAAGGGGGGGAAAAATAGCTTTTGACTCCTCTTGACACTTGTGTCGAGCATGCTCGCTCTTGTTCCAGGCTTGAGAGGAGAAACAGAAGACCTTGTTGACTTTTGTCTGCATGCGCTGTGACTGCGAGGCCACAGTTTCGCCCACTAGGATGTGACGTAATTGTTCTAACCATAGTTCAGAGAAACTAGTTCAATGTGCAAGTAAGTCACCTTCAGTTTTAGAAAGGAAAAATAGCAACAATTGGCGAAAACTTTGATTTTTTTAGCTGTCGTTGTTACTTGCTTTCACTGAGTGAGTCACACCACTCCAGTGTGGAGGAAGTATGTTTGGGTAAACCCCTCCTTTGGTAGCTCAAGCTGGAAGGGAAGTGAACTTTCTACAACGATTTTAGATTTCTATAGCCAACCAATGAAACCTAGACACATCCATTTTGTGCTGCAACCCTAAAATAAGCCTGCAGTGTCTGGACAGACTACAGTAGTCTCATGTGGTAGGGAGAGATTGAGTGTGATTTACTCACACATGCTTGGTCAAAAATAGATTTTGCATTTCCTCTGCGTGGGATAAAGCGCGAGCACTCAGTCTTTTGATGACCTGACGAATAAGACAAGTCTGTCCCCATGCAACAAAATTAGGCCAACATTACTGACACATCTCAAATACCAAAGCTGATTTTAAGCTTTCGAATGCATTTAACAATGACCTCCTGCAGCAGGCGAAAAACTACCTAAGCAATAAGATATATGTGCATGTTGTAGTTTGAGTTATGTGGGAGTTATGTGCAGTGACGTTTCAGTGGCTTTGGAATGTGATCTCCTGTCAGGTAGTCGTCCTGTTTGGGGACACAGCATGTGGTGTGCGGAGTGACCCTGTAGCAACCATAGGGCAGTGGGATATGAGTCACAGCCAGTCAGACGGGACACATCCGCTTAAACACTCTAAAACTGTCAGGACCCTTTGGGAAATATGAGGTCATTTCAGTTGGCTCGCTTGTTGTCCCTGTTGCAAACTGAGCCTCAGAGGACACAATAGTGCCATGACAATAAACACAGTCAATGTATATTAAGCTGCATGTGGAATTAAAAAAAAATTATGGAAACAGACATTTTATCAGAAATGCTCTGAGTAGAGAGTGTTTCTAGGGAGGAAAAAATCCTAGTGCTTACCCAGAAACTCATGCCTTTTTCAGAAGTAAACCATAAAAGGAACCATGCCAGTGTCTGCACTAAAGACTTGCTTTATAAGCAAATATTAGATGTATTCTGCATTTTTTTTTCATACACAGGAAGATGTTCATTCAGGTCAACCACTACAAACAGCATATTGAATTCTTAGAAATCCAGTGATGTTCAGTGGAAAATACCCAGAGAACAGCAATGCTATACATAATGTGAACAAGAATTTCTGGATTGTGCATGGGATCAAAGTGCCAATAGCTGTGCAGCGAGTCACCATCAGGAAGTTCCAGCCTTAGAGTGGGTCCATATAAAGACAATGATGACTCATGCCCAGATAATCTTCCACACAACCCTATCAGTGTTTTAGAGAGAACCCAATCTCGAAACATGCCTCCACAATGCCATGCAGCACTCTTAGACCCACACCACCACTGACCGGGGAAAGTACAACTCCTTGTAGTGGCCAAAAGAAAGGAAAAAAAATCCTTCCACAACCCGCTTTGCACGCAGTAATAAGAGCACAGAACCTGTGTAGCAGCTATCTGCTTGCAGCAAATGAACTGTCAACAGACTGCTGCAAGTCAAAACATGCTATGGTAGGCCAAAGGCTGAGACTGTCTGAATAGCACCCAGCCAATCTAACCCGGCCGTCTCAAAAACGCCGAGCACTCCCAGCCTTGGTAACGCTAACGCGATTGTGTAATGACACAAGCGGTCAACTTGAGATGTAAATTGACATCATCAGTATGATCATCATCACGCATTGTGTGACGCAGAGGAAGAACCTTGATTTTTTTTCCAAGGTGTGTTTTTGTTTGTTTTTTTGTTTTTTACTGTGTGTGATACTGGCCCTGGCTGCTTAGCCTCGCCGCCTGCTTTAAAAAGCAAAGAATTTCCACAGCGAGGGGGAAAAACTCCACAAACACACGCACAAAAAATACAAAAGGTATTTTCACGGACGCGAGGCTAAAAATACCTTTTGCGCTAACAGACTGACCAAAACAAAAGGAGACGAAAAATAGATGATTCATAAGTCAGGAGAGAGGAGGGGGGTACTAAAAATATAAACACCTGTAATCCCAGTGTGCTCTACTTTACAGAAACACGGGAGGTAAGCGCAGCGTTGTGATTTCCAGCTGAGGGGCAAGTTTGGCGAAAGTCCTTTTTTGTCTTAAAAAAATGCTGTTAGCTAACCACAACACGGGAAGTTAAACGAAGCGACGCGGTGGTATTCTTTTAGCCATAATACTAATCACATAAAGTATAGAGTGGAAGCGCCTTCAATATGTTAGTGATGAATATGCTACCATGAGATACCAGGATGTCAGGGGTGGGTATAATGATAGGAAGCTGAAGAAGAGACATGCTGGCTAGCTTCTTTTCCCTCTTCTCATACATGCAGCTCTCCACCTGGTAAGGTTACATTTCCTATACAAAGCTAGCTAAAATACTTCCCCACAAACTGCCCGTCGGCGTTTCCAATAAATGCACGGCTATTTATTTACTTAAGTATTTTTTTTTAAAGAGAGCAAAACAAAGACACTTACCTCCTTTGGACAGAGACATTTCCCCTTCGCTTTGATGAGGGGGAAGGGAAGCACAAAGACTTTTGCCTTTTTTTTTTTTACTCCCTCCCTCCCTGCATTTACTCTTACACCCGCTCAGTATATCGCTGGCTTGTGTTGCAAGAGCTAGCAGCGATTAAAAACGAGTCGCCTCGTCTTCGTGCAAGCTTTGCGCTTCAATCGCCAGCTTTTAAGCTCCAAAATTGGTTAGCAGACGAATGCACAACTTTAAATAAAGTCGCAGAGTTCGCGTTAGTTTGCTAACAAAACCTGCAGGGTGGCCAAAGTCTGACAGCTGAAGGTTCCGATGACGTACGTCCGGCCGCGCGCAAAGCATCACGAGGACTGTAGTTTCCAGGCAATTTCCCGGTAATGTAAGATAGCCCCCCCCCCCCAGGAAAAATAAAAACACAAGAAAATATTTTACCTTAATATTAGTTTATCAAAGTTTATTTTGGAAATCCTTACTAGTCACCACATACATTTTTTTTTCTAATTGTGTTTTCTCATACAGATTTTTTTTATTTGTTCCAGGAGAATCACACATGGACTTTCTTTAAAAGATAGGCAACATTCAAGTGTAACAATAAAAAGAAGAAGAAGAAGAAAAATAAACCCAAATGGCTGCAATAATCCTAAAGTCTCTACAGTCTTGCAAGTCAACTATATTATTCTAAGGAACACTCATAATGGGATTTCACTTCAGTTTCCACTGTTTGGCATGCAAGATCCAAACAGGGGCATATCACAGGAATTAGGTGCCATGTAGTAAATGTTTCTATACAGAGTACTGGATGAGAAAATGCATAAAAGTAAGATCAATAACATTTTATTTTAAAGGAAAACGTCTACTGGCCTATTCAAAAAACATTGAGATCGTATTCGCTTTCTTTTACCTGTTCCCGTTAGAACTCACTACAGCAGATCATCCACCTCCATCTCATCTTCTCCCTAGCATCCTCCTCTACCACACCAACCCTCTGCATGTCTTTCACTACATCTAGAAATCTTCTCTGTGGTTTTCTCTTTTCCTTCTCTCTGGTAGCTCCATATTAAACATCCTGATGAAGCCACTATCACTCCTCTGTTCTAACCATGTCAGCCTTGCTTCTCTTACTAGATCACATAGATTGAATACATTTAAGGGGAAAACTGCCACACAAAAACAGATAAATGCAGTACAGTAACACTGTTTCTCAATATGGATGAAAACATGAAAAACCCATCATCATTACAGTAATAATCACTGCTGAGCAGTTTATGAGCTGTTATTTTGAGTCCTTTATTTTATGAGACAAATCCTTTTCTTACTAGTTGGAAGACAGGAAAATGCACAAACTAATCAACACTGGAATTGTCGCAGATTTGACACATACACATGTATTGTGATATGAGTGTACTTTGGAATATGTGCATGTGATTGTGTGGGTGGATCACCGATGATGAGGCCTCAGTGAATTCCTGTTTTTACTTCCTGGCAACAAGAAGGGTATGGTAGAGAGGTTTTATTACAATGTGCAGATAGAGGGAGCTGTCAATCAGGTATTCGGATGCACGCCGCTGCAGATCAGCATCCAGCAGAAAATCCCCAGCTTCCTCTGTGCTTTGGTGGAAGTTGTAGACATGCTTGACCACCACTTTTCCCTGCTGCTTTGTCATCACAATCACCGTCTTCTGGAAACTCACGCCGGCAAAGTCAGGGCTTGAAGTGGCTGGTGTTACAATGATGCGAGGTCGACCTCCCTCCGTGCGGGTGGGCTGCATAGCGCCCAGTTCGGTATAAGTTGACCTGGCACTGAGCGGGAGCCACCGAGGTGAGAACAGGGCGTTCCATGTCACTCTCTTACTGGAGTCATGGCCACTGGGTCCAAGCTGGGTCTGGAAGCTGAAGCTCCGGTCATCACGGGTGGGGTTGTTTATGATCCAAGGTGATCCCCAGGCAGAGGACAGGTAGTTACGGGGAGTAAAAATACTGCAGTTGACATCAAAGTACTTGGCAAGCTGGATAGGTGAGGCAGAGTGAAATTGGAAAGCTAGATAGAGGAGATCACGGATTGACTCATAATACTTCACCATGAGGGGGGAATGTTTCTGAAGACGGAAGAGATGCTGAGGGGGGATCATGCCATATCGAACGGCCCTCAGGGCACTCTCCACTGTCATACGAACAGGCTGGTTCTGGTTAATCCATCCCTCCAGTGCCTCGTAGAGTTCCAGCTCACTCTGCAGAATGAGGTCAGAACGCTGGAGCAAGGAGAGGAGAAGGTCTTCACTGATGAAGCCCCATTCTCTGCTCTGCAGCACAGAAGACAGGTTCCAGGACAGGTACTGCAGACAGCTGTCCCGCAGGGTTATGTCCCCAATTTGTAGAGCATAGTTGTACCAACCAACCACGTGGCCTGTGGGTGAATCACTGGAGAGATGTTGAGTCATATATTGGGTCAAACCCTCCTGCAAGCCCCACACATGGTACTTGCTGGCCAACTTATGTAGAGAAATAGCCTGATCTAGCCGCAGAGAAATATCACCACAGTACAGATACCTGCAAAGAGATTTTTTGAAAGCATTGTTAAAAGAAAGGAACATTTCTGTGGGGCATACTATATTTTGAATCTTTTTTTCTGCACGCATCTGAGTCACTGAAAAAAGCCCACACTCTCTGATTTTAGACTGCAAGCCTCAAAGAGCAAGTGTAATTTTAGAATAGAGATGGAGATGGAGCATTTTACTTATCTGAAAAGAAAAGAAAAATAGGAAACGTGTCTATCTTTTTAGTCATCTCCGATATGACCCAGTAACAAATCAGTCTTAATAAATCGTGGCATCTGACAGTCCCCGCTCACCTGACAAACTTCTCAAAGATGGCTGCACAGTCAGGCGTCTCCCTCAGAACCACAGAGCTGGTGTTGCGGCTGAGCAGCAGCTCCTCAAACACATCACTCTGCAGGGTAAGAACCAGGCTGTGTGCCTGGATCACCTTCACTTCGTCCGTGTTGATGGTCTCCACACGGAGAGTGACATCACTGCCGTTTCCCAGGGCCAGCAGGGTCTCCATACGATGCACTAAATTCATAGTATGATTTAGCACTGTGGCTCCACTATCCAATGCCACATCATGCTTCAGGGCAGCTGTGGGGAAAAAATAGTGCAAGATGGTTTCCACTTGTCAGAAACTCAACAATCACTTGAGTTTTTTTTTTTTTTTAGAGAAAATGTATTATTCATCTCTGATTACAGATTGATTATTTCTCTATCTTTTTTCTTACAAGTTAAATCATATTTGACACATCTAGAACTGGAATAGCACACCTCTTTCGACTAAACCACAACTGGCAAAATGCGCCGGGGGAAAAAGCAGACTTACACATCCTTCTCTACCTCTCTTCTCAATTAATAGGGAGCGAGAGCAACAAGCCAGGTGGCTGACTCAGACAACATCAGATACCAGGTGCACCAAAATGAATCCTGAGTTTGCAGCCCCATTGCAGATGGCTTCTTCTATGGGTCCTCTTGAGCATAAATACAAGTGGCACATACTGGAGAATCATACATGAAAGACTCAGCATGAGAAGTCGCTGATTCCATTCTGCTCTGCCACAGCCATCAGCAGCCTTCTTGGCCTGTTAACTGGGGGTTTAATGAGACACAAGGGGGAGCACACTTGGCTTCCCGCGATGCATCACAGTCTTTATTTCTCCACTGCAATCAAGAGCTCCCACTTCAAAGTAACATTTTTCCAATTAGCCAGCCAGCACTGTGATCCAGCTGAGTATATGGGAGTGTGTATTGACAAATGATTCTGGCATGGTGTGATCAATTGGAAAAATAGAAATCCCAAGACCCACAATGGCTGTTACATCTTTTTCCAGAATTTCTTTAGAAAAAGAATAACAAATGTGAAATTCAGTTAAAAGTAGACAACTTAAAAAGTAGTGCCTCTTCTACTAAAGCTTGAAAAAAAGCTATCGATGTGAATTGGTTTATACACATTAATAAATAAGGATTAAATGAGTCTGTGTACACACATCAAACAGCAGCATAATGTGGCCTTCGATAACTTTTGTCACAATCAGCCCTTCTTTTAAGGAGTAGGGGAGCTTTCCCTCTCAGCACTTGTACTCTGCTGTACTACTGTGCTGGCACAAAGCCTAGTGGCAAATGGACTTGCCCGTCTTTCACTGCACCCGGCACACAAACAGATGTGGACAGGATGAGTGGAATAGATAAATACCCCTCCATTGCCCTGAGGCTGGGCACGAGCCACACATTCATGATGTGCCCTACTACCCATGACTGTATGGGGGGAGCTGGACTGAAATAGAACAATACAGCTTCCCTTAGAGTGTAGGATGTGGAAAAAAAAAAAGATGTAAAGGCAAGAAGACTCTTTAGTAGCAAAATTCAAACTACTGATTTTAATTTGCTATCTTACCTCCGCTAACTGTGACAGAGTGGATCAAGAGTAGCAGGGTGCCCACACAGACCCAGGCAGGAATCTCTTGTTCACATGAGCGTACCATATCTTCTTAGTTATTCCCTCCTTCTCTTCCTTTGTCCTTTTCTCCACTCTTCCGTTCTTCCTGACCCTTCTTCTTCTCACTGCTTTGCCTTTGTCGTATGTGTGTGCAGAAAGGTGTGTTGCCCCGTGTGATGCCCGGCTCCCTGTCCTGGACTCTTTATGTAGGACGCTGGCCTTTCCCCGGCGCATCTCACAACCCCACGGACTCCATTGATTGGTGGAATCTGGCAGGGGCGTTGCTATAGCGACAGCTTTGATTTTGAATTTCTCCCTTTTGGATGTTACATGGCATTGATCCGCAACACCGGGCCAGCCAAGGACTCAGCTTAATGTTTTTTAGTTTAAAAGTCAGTGGGGGTTAGCCACTATTAAGAATCAATAACAACACAGTTTCACATTTTAATGGCACTTAAACTGCAGCAGATCTCTGGGCTGAAAATTTTGTTTTATGGTACCTAAGTTCAGTATAATCAGAGCCGTGTAATTTATCAGTTAATTACTGCAGGTTGCATTGAGACTATCTGTCAAAAGTAATTGAGTTTCTAATGTGTGTGACCAACTGCAGTTAATCAAATTTCGTAATCCATTTATTAGACCATTTTTCAGCTGAGTGCAATTATTTCTTTGATGGCATGTTAATCATACTAATGTGAGGATAATTTCATTGGTGCTGGGTCTGCGCATCAATTTGAGGCAAGCTTTGTCTATCAAACTCAAGTGCCAATCAGGACTTTTTTTGCATGTGCTTTGGAATTTCTGCTCTTCGTCAAAGGGCATGTAAAATAAGCTTTTATGAGATTTCCCAGTGCATCATTAAGTACTTGTAAAACTTTTCCTTGTTCTTCCTTTTCAGGTGCACTCAGTGCACCATAAAGTGTGGCGCACTTATTGAGAGTATCTAGTATAAATACCAGCTAGATATGGAGGTAATGGTTCGCTGCTTGCAGGGAACATACTAACCTCCCATCTATAAAAATCAATATTAAATGCTATAATGATTCAAAAGTGAGCTAACCACGTGACAGTAGAGAATTACAAAAAACACAGAGTAGGTGGGGTACACCTATATTCAGTAGGTTCTGATGTAAGATAGCAACCATGACAACAATATATAATTCCTTCAATAATATCCCCTGGGTTCAAAGAGATGTTTGCATTCTCATCTAAATTAACCTTTATTTAACACTCAGCTAGTACTGAGCTGCTTGTCAGTGATGGGTCTTTCAATACTGAGATCTCTACTAAACTATTCTTGAAAAATATATAGATTGGGTGTTTTTTTTTTGATCATTGCAAGATCATTAGTTGCGATATTTCTGTGAAATACAACAATGTGATGAGTGTTTTTAATTATGCCCATCTACCTACTTTGGGAAAGACGAGGAGAGCGGCCATTTCAGATGGAACTGGGTTGTGGTGAAGTGCTGAGGGCTGCCAGGCTGCAATAAAAATGTAGGAGAAGAGATGTCCTGTGAGACCCAAACCTGAGCCACTTCTATGAATAACCTGACATGTTCTCAAAGGAGAGCAGTGCAGCTGAGGTGTCCTAATGAGGTCTGCTGCAACAAACTGGACAAGACAATACAGAGAGGGTACAGGATAATATATGGTAGCATCTCATCATCTCAGTCTGTTTTAGCTTTAGACAGAAAATATAGACATCACACTCAGGAGTCTGTGGATCCAAATAATGTTGTTGCATGTAAATATTATGAATATTTTTATGTATTAATTGGGTTTCACTTGGTTTACCAGTTCAGGAACTTGGTATATGCAAGCAGAATTCATCTACAGTAAAGTAGGCCTAAAGCTCTGAAAAGTGCATGTCCTTCATTTAGGTCACATTGCTTTCTCCTTCGATCTAACCTCCTATTAAGAATCTGAGCGGACCAAAATGCAAAAGGATGGATTGACAAACTGCTGGATTTGTGAGAGCACCCCTGGGGACAAGATCCATTGAGAGATCAATGCACCATGGGGGGCTCCATCACGGAGTATAAACAATAAGTTAAGTACAGGCTGGATGCCAGAGCCGGCTTTAGCAAGGTGCCCTGGATGACCTTACCCTTGTTCTAAACAGGGAGGGAAAGCATCAGTTAGCCAGGGTTTCAAACAAGACAGTCATGAATTTTCAAAAAAGAAAAAGTTAAATGAATGTAAATGCATAAAACTTTCATATGCTTTAATGCACAAAAGTTGACTATTTCTGAGCAAGAATATGAATTACGTCTAAGCAGATAGAGACAAATTCAGAGACAAATGAGATGACTCCACTCAGGCACGTCTGCTGGACCAGATGGGGTGAGTCCCCATGTCCTCAAGGCCTGTGCAGTCTTTTATAAACTGTTCATGATGAGTCTGAGTCTGCAGAGGGTCCCATTACTGTAGAAGGCGTCATGCCCATTTCCTGTACCAAAGATGCCACGTCTCAGTGGCCCTCAGGATTACAGACCCGTGGCACTGACTTCCCATGTTGTGAAAACCCTGGAAAGACTTATCCTTGAACAACTCCCACCTATTGTCAGACCACATCAGGATCTGCTTCTGTTCGCTTACCAGCTCCACCTCGGAACTGAGGACACCATCATCTACCTGCTCAATTGTGTCTATGCCCATCTGGACGAGCCGGTGAGTACTGTGAGGATCATGTCTTTCGATTTTTCCAGTGCATTCAATAGTATCAGGCCAACCCTCCTGGGTGATCAGCTGACAGCGATGCAATAAATGCCTCTCTTGTGTCCTGGATTGTTGAGACTTCAGCCACCACAGAGACCTGCCATCTTTAGAAGTTTTCTGATGACTCTGCGGTGGTTGGATGCATTAGTGAGGGTGATGTGATGGCGTACCGGGCTGTGGTGGAGTCCTTTTTGTCATGTGGTGCGAGCAGAATCATCTGCAGTTCAACGTGACAATACCAAAAAAATTGATTGTTGACTTTAGGAGGACAAGGAAACCTGTGAGCCCTGTTTCAATCGAGGGGGTCGATGTGGACAGTGTGGAGGGCTATAAATACCTCAGAGTACACATAGATAATAAACTAGACAGGGTTAAAGTGCCAGTGCACTCTACAGGAATGGAGTCATCTCTATTTTCTGAAGTGGCTGAGGTATTTTAACATTTGTCATGATTTTCTCTGAGGTGGCAGGTTGACTCAATAAATCTGATCTGCAAGGCCAGTAATTTTGTGGGGATAGAGCTGGACTCCCTTAAGGTGATTTCGGAAAGGCGGATGTTGTCCAAGATGAGGACAATGCTTGACAATACCTCCCATCCACTCCATGACTTGCAAAGGAGCAGGTTCAGTGAGAGGCTGAGATTACCCAAATGCAAGACTGAAGAACACAGGAAATCACTCATCCCTGTACAACTCCTCCATCTAATGCACAGTACACAGTACAATAGTTGCAAAGTTTTATAGTTTTCAGTTTAGGGTAAAATGTCAATCATATTTAATCTTGATAATATTCTGGATATTTCTAATTGAGCTATTTGTATATATTAGAGCTATTTCTTATATTTAACTTTGAAATATATTTTATTATTTAATTTAGTTCAGTCTGTTCTGTACTTACTGTAACTATATAATTTCCTTTGGGATTAATAAAGTATTCTGATTCTAATTTCTTATGTCACAGCTCATCCACTTGTGTTTCTTTTATCTGAAAAACGTCACACCTCTACTGTCAACCAATAATTGTGAACATTTATTGCAGACTTCAGTTTTCTCCTGCTTTGATTATTGTAGCTGATTACGTCCTCCTCCTTAGTTTGTCTTCAATAGGTCCACATTGGTACTTGCCAGTGAAGCCAGTGAGGAGACGCTTACTATTGCACTGAATTTAACCCCCCCCCCCCCAACTTTATTACTTTTTAATTTTTTTTGTAGTTTATTAAAATTAGAGGAGAAAGAGACTGCTTTTAAAAAAAAGAGTGCAAACAGAAACACAACATTGAAAACACGTTTAACCCCCTCCACCCAAAATCATGTTTATGTCTTATAAATTGTCAGATCTGCAACCACTTAATAGTTGAAAACACAGACTATGGCATAAAACACCACTGAATAACTTTCAGGAATGGGGGGAAAAGCTACTGATGGAAGATAAAGGAAAGCAGAGCTTTTTGAAAAACTGACAGTCTAAAAGCTTAAAATCAATTCCTTCACTAATGTGCTTATTTATCTTATGGTTTTTAACTGGCATGTCCTACTGTACAACGGATCAATAGAAAGATCTATTTTGTTGTGTAATCCAATTTGTTTGAAAAACACAGGACTCAACCCAGCCTTGATGCCACCAGGTGGCTCTGCTTACCATACAGTCCCTCCTGTAACTGTAACTGCTCTAAAGTAGCCTAGATATATGGACAATAATAATGGTATATTTCAGAAATTTGATATGCAGTATTGGATTTAATCGTCTGAACCAAAATACGAATGTGAGTCATTATATTCCACAATAGGAGTGCAAAATAGGCAACTGTAAACGCTGCTGTATGCGCAGGAGTTGAGTATTTCAAGGCTAATCTCAAAATTGACCTAATTACAAATTATCTGTTAAAGTCATCGACGATCGTGTTTGCATGGGTCATACCACTTTTCATAGCCTGTATACATGAGTGCTCCCTTTGTTTGGATGTAAGCTGCCTGAAATAAATAAGTAGGCCGGGTGCTAATCTCAAAGAATATGCAAAGCTGTAGATACCAGAGGCTGGGGAAGGAGCAGAGTGGTTTGAGGTGAGTCGTTAGAGAACTTTTACAGAATATTAATAATAACTAAAAGAAGCAACTACTTCGTTGGAACTACCTGTGAGGTCACTATAAGATGCCTGAATAAAAGAGGAGTGGCCGATGGAGGTCCGTTTCTGATCCCGCCCGAAAAAAACAACAAAACAAAAGTCAACACCTGACGCACAGAAATTATTGGTCGAATCATCAAGAAGTGTTGTAAAAATGGAGAAGAACTACTACCACCAATAAAAAATTAACTCGTTCGTGCAAGGCAAGTTTCTTTTCGGAGGTCAGTAATCATTATCGGACTGAATCTACCTGTTACCTGTTGGAGAGGCTAGCAGAACAGCTCTCATTGCAATCCTGGTAAGAGGCTCGTGTTATTACGCAAAGATACCTGATTGAACCTTCGTTTACTCTGTTTGTCTTTTATTTTTTATTTTTATAACATCATAACTGTCTCCCCCTCTAAGTCTCTCCGATTCTGTTATATAAATAATCATAAACAACTTGTTGTCCTTTAAACAGCATGTCCTGTTTTTTTTTTGTTGTTGTTGTTGTTGTTAATTAACTAAGCTAACTCACTGGGTCTAATATAATTATTAAATAAGCAGCAGGACGATGTTCTTATCGCACACAGGCACCTTTATCTGAAATCTTCACAGTCAGAAAGTTCGCATAAAAAGCATATTAACTTTTTAATGTCGTGTCCTTTAATTATTATATTACAGTTACAGTCAGAAGAAGAGAATAAACAATAATTAAGTTGCCGTTCAATAATAGCTGGTTTAAAATGTACACCTACAACTATACATTCTGCTATTAAAATACATATGATTCCTGAATGACACCTGTGTGCGTACTGGAACAGGGATACTGTGTGGAAAAACTCATTAGGTGTCATGGTAAAATGCTGAAATTATGCTTTTCCTAATTAGCTGGTCTTAGCAGGCTATAGAGTGAGCGGTGACTAAAGCTCTGTGTAGAATGACTCAGTTTTGTAATTACAGCCAGGGGATGCAGTACATAATTCCAGGATTCTTTAGAGACCTGAATGAATATTTGAATTTACAGTAATTAGTATGGCACATTAAAACTCCATAAAAGAGAAATTAGGTCATTTTCAGATTGAAACTCCAGTGGAATGGCACAGCTGTGTATGCATGGCACTATTTAACTTGCTCACACAGTAATATTACTGTGTGAGCAATATTAATCTATTACAGTAATATTACTTGCAATTTTAACCTATAGTTTGTTTTGTAATAATCAGGGATGTTATTAATGAAATCTGTAACTACAATATTAACATGTATGTTGAAGTAATCAAATTATTTTTGTTTCTTTTTTTTTTTGGTTGCAGCATTTAAACGAAAATCTGCAGTGAAGCGATGGACCCAACTAGTGCTCCAAAAGGATGTGGTGGTGATGTGAGCTCCATATATTATAATCTGTGTGACCTGACAGCAGTATGGGGCATCGTAGTGGAAGCTGTTGCTGCTGTTGGTGTGCTGACTGCCTTTATCTTGTTCGTCATTCTCATGGCTAGCTTACCGTTTGTGACAGACAAGAAGAGAAAGGGTATGGTGGGCCTGCAGGCCAGCATTTTAGTTTTCACACTGGGTCTGTTTGGACTTAGTTTTGCCTTTATTGTGGAGCAGTATTCTACTACCTGTGCTGCACGGAGGTACCTGTTTGGAGTACTGTTCTCAGGCTGTCTGGCCTGCCTGGTGATGCATGGGCTGTGGCTTGCCCTGCTGCAAAGGGGAGGCCAGGGGCCCAGGAGCTGGATGTTATGGCTGGGAGCCCTGGCTCTTTGGCTTGTCGAGGTGATCATCAACACCGAGTGGCTTGTCATTACTGTGGCCAGGAGCCCACTCAGAGGTGTTCCTGACCTGGCCTGCAGCTTTGTCAGCCGGGACTTTGTGATGGCCCTTATATATGTAATGGTTCTGATAGCAGCTGTGGTGCTAACGTCTGTGCCCTCACTAACACACAAGCAAAAGCACTGGCGCCGTGATGGAGCCTTTATTCTGGTCACAGGAGTCCTCACTTTGGCACTTTGGATAGCTTGGATTGTCATGTACATCTATGGGAACCGAGCACTTGATAATTCCAGCTGGGACGATCCGACTATGGCTATAGCCGTGGTGTCAAATGCCTGGGTGTTCCTCTTGTTCTATGCAATTCCAGAAATCTGTTTATTGACCCAGGAGGACCCAAACAAGGAACAACCCGATGGGGAAGAAGTCTATCCTGCTAGAAGCCTGGTTTACGACAACATTCTGAAGGAGCCACAGCCCACCCCGCAGCATGTCTACGTAGAAAATAAAGCCTTTTCTATGGATGAACCAGGTACAGCATAACACATTATGGTCAGCCATTAACTTCACAGTTCAGCAGTTTAACACTGTTTAGGTGGGTACAGAATCACTAGAATGAATACATTTTATTAAGTAGTAATTAAGTAATCAATAGGAATTAATTTCTAAATTTTATTGAGACACGTTTGATTATTCCAAACTGATAACAAGCATGGTATATTACATAATGCATCAGTGTAGCAAATGAAGACCCACACTGGCTACAGTACACCTTCTCCAGTTTACTGTTTTGTAATTTTGAAAATTGCTGTTTTTGTATACCACTTTCCTATTTATTCACAACCCACATTATCAGCACAAAGCATATTGCCATTGCGAAGAATCACTGCATTGCAATATGAAGTCTGTTGCTCGCAAACCTTACATTCTCAACACACTAAATATTGAGATCAATGATCAGGTTTAACTGTTGGACCCCAACTGGTATCAACCGATACCAATACAGGATACATTATACTGTTATCATTTAAAGTATGTGGCACATGGTACAGATTGCTTCAATGTTAGGAAATATCTATGGTGTGTGTGGTGCCTAATTTTCCCAAGTAATGCTGAATATATTGATTCTTCTCACTGTACAATTTCAAACAACAGAGGTATTAAATTGTGCCATTTCAGTTGTTAATAATGGTTTAATAATGGTTTTTAGGTTTAAGTCTTGAGCCACCTCATATGATTGTACAAACATACATGCCAAGACAGTATGTTAGCCAAAGTAGCACAGTTCTAACGAGTTTGAAGGAGAATGTTTTGGATCACCATCTTTATTCTTCAACAAAGGCTGGATTCTCTTAGGCAAACGTTCTTGTCATTTCTTTAAGTAGACTTCAGAAATACTTCTCCATACTTCTTGAAGTCTGACTGGATTTACTTTTTCCGCAGTCTTGGGCAGTGTTCTGTCAACAGTGCTGTGCGGCTGTACCTTATTTGTACCTTGTTTGAATGTTGGCTGGCCGAAACCCAAACTGCTTCAGTAATGTTGAGGCTCAGACCACAATATTACTGAAACATATAATGTCCCATTCTGTGTTTTTCTATCCACGTCAATGTCGGTTTGAATATAGCAAATTTTGTTACATACATGCACATACACATATATGCTTATACCATGCTGAGATATGCAAAACTTCTGGCTAAAGGCACTTTGGGTATCAATTTGTTTATTTTTTTTAAAAAACAAAACTTCAGAAAGAATGGGCAACTGATGCTCAACATCACTTGGACAATTTTAAGAAAGTGTAGCTCCTTGGAAGTGCAATAATTTTAAAAAATTGGGAGTGGCTTTAGGTTTTTGCAACAGATTGTACACAGACAACAAAATGAATCCAGTAATGACTGTAAAATGACATTTTTTATGACAGAATCCACAAATCCAGCGTCTCCATATGGGGTTTACAATGGTCAGGCACGAAGTTGTTTATACCAGCCCACTGAAATAGCCTTGATTGCCAAAGGTCTGACAAGGGTGAGTGCTATTTTTAACCACGAAACATCCCGTCTTCATGACATCACATGTGAAAATAATCCATATGTGTATTTTCACAGAAGGACCAAGACTCAGGGATACTTCGAACCACACCTGGCCCTTTGAATATGGGGAGCTGCAGCTCCCAGTCGTGCTCAGTGGATTCCTAAACATCTTCAGGACTATCATAAGTTAGCAGCCCGAGCCGAGCACATTGCACTGAGCTTTTCCATCTCACAGCTCCAAGAATCAGATATTTTATATCTCTGTTTTCTCTTAAGCAATAACAGAGTGAATGTCCAGTAATATTCAGTATATGACTGCTTAGTTTCCATTAATGCTTATGCAATGCTTGCTCTATGTACATCAAAATCACACATTATAATAATGATGCAAACCACACTGGGCTTACAGAGGAAAGATTATATAGTGAAATACAACAAATACAAGATATGTGTGTATATATATATAAACAAATTCTAACACGTTCACACATATATGTGTGTGTATGCGTTAGAATTTGTTCATGATCACCACAGTATAACATACTTAGTTGTAAATTTGTGTAACTATAATGGTGTAATCATATGCAAAAATGTGGCTTTTAGCCATGAATGAAATAAATGTGAAGGTGTAAATTCTAAGGTTTCAGCCCTACAAACTTCAGTTAAATTCTCTGGCGTTTTGGATTGCAGAAAGAATCAACTAACAAGGAAAGGTACTGGATGGTAAAAGAGGAAGTGTCATCATGTCAGCAGAATTGCTAAGTTTACTGCTTCAAATATTTACATATGTTTGCTTGATAAGCCTGGCCTGGCACCTAGCACGACATCCAGGGGTTGGCTCTGTGATGCCCGAGTTTGTAGTTCCGCAAGGGAGACCGCTGTGATAGTTAAGCTGATGTTGTTGTAATGCTGCTGAATCCAACCATCAATCACTGTGGTAACAGATTAATATTTCGTACGTATTGCTGCGAAAAGTATCATCTACAACTGCTCTGACTCACAAGAGGTAGTCTGTCTTCTCTACATGACAAGCACAATTATTTTAATATAATTTATCTCACTCACACACACTCACACATCTTTAAAAGCTTCAGTCAGCAGTGGCTGCCTAGCAGCAGGCTTAAATATCTCTCTCCCAATTACTCTTTCCCATCCTGTACTGTCAGCAGCCATGGGTACTTGATCGGAAGATAAATTGCTCACTAACAGGAAATCAGACAGCACTGAACAACAACAGAACACATAAGCAAATGATGTTTTCCTCTGTAATAACCTTCAGTATCACCTTCTTGATCTGGCTGAAAAAAGGCGGAAAAAAATAAGCGTTGCACGATGTCCAAAATGAAACACTGCATGTGGACACAAACAGAGCAGAATATTTCCAATGAAACTGCTCAAGTCTGGTTAGATTTCATGCTTCCCAGCGGACCTTTGGATGGTTGGTAAAACATTTAATACAGAGAACTTACAATGTGTCACATTGCACTAGAAATATTTGACTATATAAATACACTGACATGATTGAAGCTTTGCATATTACGTAACTCCGGGGTCAGTAAATTCAACTAAAAGAAGAAGAAGAGGTAAAAAAAGCAGTATCTTAACATCCTAAGTGAAAAACAGCTGTAAAGCTCTGATAATGTGAGCTGCTGTCTTGCACACAGGTGGAATATAACCAATGGCAAATGTGCTCAGCTCAAGGGAGTCGGTGCACCCAATCACCAGCAGCTGTCCCCACTTAATACATTTCCATGTCACTGTGACAACCATCAGAGGACAAACATGGACTGAGGGTTTCACCAGTCAAGCTGATTAAATAGCAGTGATTGGACCCACGAACCAGATAAGAAGAATTCAGTATTGACATCATTTGGTTATATAATTCAGTTGATCACTATTGCATTATATTATCAATGTGTTTTTTTTCTCCTTAGATAGCACGCTTTGAAAGTTTTTGAACAAAGATTTGAATATGCGCAGTCTGTCTCATATGCAAATATTTAAACAATGGCTTCGTTCATGAGTGTAAAGCCTTTGAAGGATTACAAATATAAATAGCTGTGCCAGGCTCTAATAAATGTTGCACATTTAAAAAGGTTAATGGCTCATTTATCCCAAGACCGAGGCTATCACAGACGTACTAACAAAAAACAGCAGCTGCAAAGGACTTTAAAACCCAAGAACAGCTAAAAAGGTCTCATGAGGATATTTGTTTTTTTCAGCTGGTGTTTCTGAACATCAGTGTGGATGACAATTCCAGATTTATCCAAATGCTCTGGAAAAAAAAAAACAGTGAATATGACAACAAACAGGAAACATCTGCTGAGGAGCATGGAAAAAAATCAAAAACATCTAATAATAAATAACCTCATGGTTTCTCTCAACGTGTTATTTACATTTTCTATATAAAATGCAGTCATTACCACTCAACCATTTAACAACAATATAAAATACTTCAATATATAATATGGCACCAACAATGAGCAAGTTATGTCGGCTGTGTACAAGAGGAGTGCCATCTAGTGGGACCACTAAAAACAGAGGATCATCTTTACTTTGAAATAACCTGATGGATGGATTTTACTGTCCATCACATGACGGACGACTTCAGAATTTGGTTATCTAAACATGCAAATGTGAAAAAACTGTAAATACAAATGATGAAATACGCAAGCGTTCCAAGGGTGATAAAGGAGCATAGGCAAAATATCTCCATGTATTTTCCGTCGGACATGGGAAATGACTCTGCAGAGTTACAAAGCACTTTGAAAGCCGTTCACTCTTTTAAATTAACAACGTTGTGAAAGCGGCAGTGTTGTTTAGTGTACCTAAAGATAAAATGGAATTATACAGTGCCCTTCTAGTTTTCCCAACCAACCGCTTTACACAAGGAGCCACATCCACCCATGCACACACAGACATTTGAATACTACACATTTCCCCCCTCTTTTAGACAGTGTGGGTGGGGGAGTGGTATGTTGCCAGTTTCATGAAAAGCAAACAGCCTGCTGTACCTGTTGAGCTACAGGAGCCTCCAACAGTGGTCTATGGATGCAAAAGGTTCCCCCAGATATTAATCTCAACTGTGGCTAGCTCTCCATCTTATTTAGACAGTTTCTACAGATCACTGCTCAGCCCTGCTGCTGCCAGGAACACTGACTGCAGATGAGCTGAGTGAAAAGCGACATCAATGAAGGCTTTTGAGTTTTCTCATGCTTGCAGTCCTAGCTTCATACTGCTGCTGTTTCTGTTTCTTCAGCTGACGGTATGCCTCTACTGCTCGTTCCCGCTCCTCCTCCATGATTCTCTGTTTGGCCATGGAAGGCTTTGTAGTGGAGACTGCAGTATGGCCAAGAAGAGAGTTTAGGAGCAGCTCCTTTGATGCTTTCTGCACAATGAAATGGAAAAAAAAAAGGAAATAGGATTTTATGAACCATCTGCATGGTTCGATGAGAGATCATGTGATCAATGCACAGTGTGATTACCTGAGATTTGACTTCAGCTTTCCTTGGTTTGGCACTCAAAGATGGAGGGGCCATTGTAACTTCACCAAAAGGAACATCATCTACGAAACAAAAGCCATCATTTAACTACAGGGAATTTTTTAATGACTACTCACCGTTGCCATGTTACGCTGCCTTAATTAAATACTTCTTGCCATTTTCCATGTTTGCATAGCCCAGCAACTTTTAACCATAACACCTGATTTACACACTGGTCACTTTATTAGCTACACTGTCCTAATAACGGCTTAAACTCATTTTGCTTTCAGCGCTGCCTTAATTTATGGCACAGAGAATTTGGTGCGTACTAACATCACAGCATCACGCAATTGGTGAAGATTTGTGGGCTGCACATCCATAACATTTCCCGTTCCATTATGAGTCTATTATGGGTTCTGAGGACTGTGGAGGCCCTGCGAATACAGTGAACTCATTGTCATATTCAAGAAACCGGTTTGAGAGCTTTGTGAGCGATCATAAGATGCGTAGAATGTGATTATACATAGGTAGGCTATCTATCTATCTACACACACACACACACACACACACACACACACACACACACACACACACATATATATATGTATATATATATATATATATATTTGTTTTTGGAGCAGTCTCTGTAAACCCCAGAGATGCAAATGCTCTTCCCACTTTCTGTGTAGGAAACTGTAGATTTATGAGGGCACCAACAGAAAAGATGAGCATAAACGGTAACTTTGTGGTTGTTTTTTATGTCAACTGAAGGCATTAAACACTGCATCCATTGTGGCTTACACCAGGAACACATCATCTAATCTACTTGAATTTCACGGGGAACTATAACTGAGGTGATTTGGTTCTGCGTCATTTGGTTTTACTCTGCCTCAGACTGACAAATTTTTAATGTTTGTTTTGTTCTAACAGCTGAATCTGGGATTACTTCAAATAGAGGTTTGAACTTTCCTCAGAGAGAAGTGATCAGGACAGTACTGCAAAAAAGTAAAAATAAAAAATGCTTTACTGAAAGAATATCTCACAGCATGTCCTCCATCTGCACCCTTGTTTACCTAGTAGATGGTGTACTACGAAAAAAGAAATGCTACTGAAGCAAGTGCTGTGTTGAAGACCTTTAGTGTTTTAAATATGTCAAAAAGACCCAGACTTTCACAGAAATGTTGAAAATAATATCTGGTAAATGCTACCTCTTGCTATTAGTACCAAACAGAGTGATAGTCAAAGACAGAGCCCATCTCCTAAAGAACAATGCACCAAATTGTGGAACTCTGTTTGCATCTATAAGCACATTTCCTTGTAAAACCTTCATTCTTACCTACAAACATCTGTTCTTCCATCTTGTCCTCTTGTTTGTTCACCTTTTTCTGCTGTAGCTTCTGTAGCTTCATTTTACCATACCTGCCAATAGAAAATCAGTAGGCATTAAAAATGTAACACTTGACAGTCGGGCTGCAGCTATCGATTATTTTAGTAATTGAGTAATCTATTGATTTATCCATCGATTAATCGGATAAGAAATACTTTTGTCTTATTAATGAGCAATAATAAATATTCAAAAGAGAAAAAACACTTTCTTTCAAAATGAACTGTTCATTAGTTTCCATTTTAGAACTTGCAGTGTTTTAAAGTTTAGCTGAACACAACACCTGTCAGAAAAACAACAGAACATAACAAAACTGAAGGGAGAGCCTTCAGTTTTCAGGCCCCTCTTCTGTGGAA